CATAAACAACTTCGAAGTGAACACACACAAAACAAATGTTATAATGGGAAATACAGGATTTATTTTGCCAGTTCCTCTTAAATGTAAGTGAGAATTTCTAAAATATTTTTATAGTTATAAGTGCGCGGGGTGATTTAATTCTTTTTTACACTGTAGCGGGTACCGTTAGTACGGTAGGCGGGGTGGTCGGGACCCTGAGAGTTAACCTCGTCGCGCCGATAGTCTTAGCGCGGGCCGAAGTCGTCAGATGTCGCTACGAGCGCAAAAGTATTAAAGCTGGCTCGGAGCTTCGCGTTCCCCATATTTAGTCTGTGTCGCGCTCAATTAACTGCGCCCATCTGTCAATTCGTTGTAAGCATACTTAATATATTCAACTGTTAGTTTTTAATTGTGGTGCTAAGCTACACTCTTGTCGACACCAATAATGTATTTGTACTTTTTTTTTAATTTTTAAGTTTTTAAGGTGACCTTTTAAGTGATAGTGTTGAGCGCGTTCCGTTACACGAGCGTTGAACGTGTCGACGCTTTATGTACAACTTGATCCTCTTTCTCCAAGGTTTAGAATTTGCTACTCATCGTAAATTGCTCTGAATGCCAATGTCGAAAGTTATGTTATAAACCGCATTTTAATCGATATAGATTTATTGCGTACACCACTAGGGTGAAAGTTCTCTGCACATTAAAGGGGATGTGTTGTGGCGTCATAGATTTGTCGTCCGTTGCAAATGTGCAAACGGTGCATTAGCATTATATCGATAGCTATATCGCACGTGACTAATATCTGTAGCCTATATTAACGATGGGGGTTTGGCTCTTTGTCTGTATGTTTGTTTTAATAAATGTTCGTAGCGTTTAAATTTCCTTGGTGTATTCTTTAGACCAAAGGGGTGTTTATCAAGTCCCCCACGCGGATTAATCTCAACATTTACACGTTACTTGTATACACTGCCACTGTTCAAACGCCCATTATCGACGTATGTTTTTATTTCATTTAAAACTCGCATTCTGTTTTATTTTTATTTTATATTTGTTTCTTGTTATGACTGTATTTGTTATTACTGAGCAGGGCTTCGTAGGCGCGTCGCAATACGAATCAATGTGCAAAGTAAGTATTCGCTAGTCCCTCACTTCTAGTGAACCACTTTGATCTGTTACGTTTCAATCGAGAAGTGAAAACGTTACTAAAGCGCTAGAGATAAAGTCGGATAGATACAAAGGGAATATACTGTCTGTGGTTAATAACGAATTTTATGAGCTTATTAAAACGTAATTCCACGGTATTGGTACTGCGAAGGAATCGTACCGCGAACTTGCCGATAGGTCAATTTGATATTGTGCATCTCCTTAACCCGTTCGCTGCTATGAACTGCCCATAGACTATAGTAGTCATAGGTTCCATACGTATTATATTTTTTGACTAAAACACGTTCTTACAAATCGTACTCAAATCGCGCACGTATCAGCCTTCGCCCAAACAAATCTGTCAAACTTATGTGAAGCAGAGCTCTAAAACAGACTATTATAGCATATGGGACGTTAATTAGGGAAGTAGTGCGAGTCCACTTAGGAGAAGTGATTATATAATTAAGTTTTGAGTGTGAATTTATGTGATTTCTCTTCTGTTTCCGAAGTGGTCTTGCACACATATTTAATTTATTATGTGATGGTAGCGAACGGGTTAACTTTCGTAATCCAAAAATATCCGACCGACTCTCGGACGTGTCCCACCCAACGATTTTCCCCCTAATTCTCTGATGACATCGAAATAGTAATTATATTTTTCGAAATGCACCTATTTTTCATAGTTTCTATTAGGACGACGTGTTAGTGGTAAGAGAGATGTGCAATATCGAACCGTCAAATACGGAGTTTGTTGTCAATGCCGAAATAGTATTTCGTAAGATGCCAAGTTAGCTCTCGCATTGGACCAAGGGATAGTGTAGAAGGTATAAGACGTGTAACTCACTTACTCGCTGACGGTACCTATAGCGTTTTACGTGGGTAGATGCAATTAATGGATATAAAAAAGGGAATATGGAATGTACGACATTGTAATTATTATCGTAATGTTTTGACATGTATCGCCACTGTCTCTTCACGTTAGTTCCATGTATACAAGTATCTTTGTGATTGATGTTTATAGACTCGCTCTGTATGTTGGCAACTATTTATTACAGACTGATTTTGAGAGCAGCCCCTTCGCCGTGTTGGTCTGCTCTTGTGCAGTATTATAAAGGAGGGTAGTTATGTGCAAATGAAAGCTATAACCTCAAAAACGTAGTCACGGTATTGGGGCGCGCGAAAATTTTTATTCTGTCAACCGATTTGACAGCTATTCATTACGCGCGCTTTTTTTTTTCTAAGTAACTTAATGACACGTCTCATTATAATGGTCTACGGGCACAAGATTTCGGTAAAGTTAGTCGTATGATTTTTTTTACAACGTATAATATTTTTTATATATGGTAACTTTTTGAGGTTATAACATTAGATGCAAATTATTGAATGCGCTTCTACAGGCAACTTTGTTGTTATGAATAAACATACAAATATAACTAGCTTTTACGTGAAATTTGATTCCCAACCGCTGTTTTTTGAAATTCCTCAGTATACGTTCACCTGTGATAAAGTTTATTCGGAAAATTGTTCATGATCGAATCTCGAATTAATACCAATTTGCACATAGTTACCGCTCCCCGATTAAAGTAGCGAAGCGCAGTATGAATTAGGCGTATCTGTGTTTAAAACTAGACGATTAAATTTAATGGTTAAATGAATATAGTTTACTACGCCAACTTGTCTGTTCTGATGTTGTGAAGAATTATAAGTGTTATAAATGTTGTCCTGCTGGTCGTATAGGTTATATTCTTTATCTCAATATTCAGTAGTTCATGCTAGATGCAGACTTGATTTTTTTTCTTACTAATGTTTTGTTACTGTTTTGGCACTGTATTAATTACCTTCTGACGAAAAATATATAATGATGGAAAATATGTATGTTGTTTTATTTATTGCGCATTCCCGATGAATCCTTGTGGAGACCAGTGTTTTCGCCGAGTTTTAATGACTGCACATTTTCATACGAACCTCAATGACGCACGCGATACGGCCCTATAAACGCGGAGAAATGGTATCAAGCTCGCGGGATCTGCTATATATATATATATATATGGCTTTAATAGTCTACGGAGTCATCATCATCACCATTTCAGCCTATTTAAGTTCGATCCTGAGCCACCTGCATCCATCGACTTCCGGCACCTTTGCACAGGTCGTCACTCCATCTATACGAGGGTGTTCCTACAATGGCCAGTACAAGGCTGCCACTCACTACGAGCTATATGGCGGGCCCATCGCGACTTCAGCTTGCTAATTCTCTGAGCTATGTCGGTTACCTTGGTTCTACTGCGGATGTCTTCGTTACGAACTCTATCACGCAGACAATACCGAGCATAGACGGCTCTATAGCTCGCTGAGCGACTTTGAGCTTCCGGTATACGGCTAGCAGTGAAGGACCAGGATCTACGGAATGCAAGCAAAAATCAATCTATCAAAATAAAGTAAGGCGTAACTTCTCACATAAGAAATATAGTTCACATTTCTTATGTGAGAAGTTGGCAAGGAGCCGACGGTTCAGCTGATGTTAAGTGATATAAAAAAAAGATGAATATCCGTTCGTGGACATTTGCAACACCCGTAGTATTGCAGATGCGTTGACAACTTCACGTAAAGTGGGCCTCGGCTACCCTACTCGCCAGACGAATACGCAGAAGTATAACACTTCCATTTCACGCCGATCTTCTGTGAGGTTGGCATACCTCTCTAGACGGGCCTGCCCATTCGTGCAACAGCGAAGACTGTTTCGTGGCCCTAGCACGGTAAGACCCAATGATCCCGCGATGCCCTGTGATGCAGTTGTCGCCTCAGGGCCATCGATGCTGGTTTGCTTATGCGGGGAATTTCGACAACAAAGCACGGGGTCAAGGGTAGCACCCTTTCCTTTGCCTTTGTTGAATGTTTTTACTTTCATTGTTGAAGAATCGAGCTGCATCGAGCTCGTCAAAAGGCTTGCTTTTACTTATCAGACAACGACTACGACAAAGTCCCTGTATTAGCAAGAATGGAGAGAGTGCAAGGAATTTTATGGATTGAAGGCAGTTGTACCTTGGCTTTTAGATTACAGTTAGATATATAAAAAGGACAAATGAACTTGGAATTTTGATTTTTTTTCACTGTTTCATAAACACCTGAAACCTAATAACTATTTAAGTACATGACCGGTTAAATAAATATGGTGAACAAGTGGAATATAATAATGAATATACTAATAATATATAAATATATAGGTAATAAATATATTACCTATAATAATTTGACGACCCGAATGGCGTAGTCGGTAGTGTACCTTTCTCCTGCGCCAGAGGGTGTGGGTTCGATCCCCACTACTGGAAAAATATTGTGTGATGAGCGTAGTGTTTTTCTAGTATCTATGTATAATATATATTTGTTTACAAAAAAGTATGTTTAAGTATGTCTATCAGTTTTCTAGTACCCATAGTACAAGCGTTGCTTAGTTTGGGACTAGAGAATGTTGTGTAAAAAAAAATAATAATAATACATACACGCCGTAAATGACATAGGCCTGTCGCAACTTCTCGCCATAATAGCAGAGTGCGCTTGAGGAAAATAGAACAATTCCAAAGGCAAAAGTAGTATACCTCGATAAAAAGGTAACTATATGACAACTGTGAATATCATACAAGGGTGATTTCTTGATTTAACTTAAATATTATTATATGCTTAAATAAAACTACTTTACTAATTTTATCGCGTTCTTAAATCAAATTTTAAATTGCTGACGGTCACGGGACAGACCCCCGTTAGAATGCGATAAAATAATTCAAGCACTTTTATGTAACTAGGGTGGGTATCACTGGTTTGAATAAAACAATTCATATCTAACGCAACGATTTATTTACATCTCTATCACTACGGCATTACGGTGCTTTTTCGAAGAGCACCACTCTGCCGAGCTTGCCGTTCGGCACGTCTATACTGGGGAGCGTTTCCGTCACTATTCCCGTGGCTACCGTCACGTTGTTCTCCCTGATGGTGAACTGCTCGCCCGGAGACATCACCATGCCCTCGAGGAGCGTCAGGTACACCTCGCCGTGGTCACCGGGCATCATCATGTCCACGGTTAGCTCTGGAAAGGGTTCGTTATTGTGTTATGTGATAGATTACAATATAATACCTGTATATATTACATAATAATGTGAATATATTACATAATAATGTGATACCTTATTACAATATAATACCTTTAAACGAGCAATTCTTGTTTATATATATATATATATATATATATATATATATATATATATATATATATACAGCGTGTCGTTACCACCGCCACAATAAATGAACACATATATAGAGGATAACTTTTTAAAATTGTATTAAACATTTACATTCTTCAAACATCAATATTTACCGAGTTATTAAATTTTCCAAAACAAACAATTTTAGAACACCCTTACGTATAAAACTGTAACGTAAAGTTCATTTGTAAAGGTCATAAAGCATATGAATGGGTTGAATGAATTTAAAAGAGACAAAACATACTGTTAAAAGGAGAGGCTTTGTAATGCGATGCTGTGGGGCAAGTTGTATAGGATGTGACAAATTTTGTTTCTTATTTTTTTGTAAGTATGGATTTTTTTTAACGATAATATTTTTTATGATTATTGGCAAGTAGCGTTAGACGTGTGTTCATTTATTGTCGCGGTGGTAAAGACACGCTGTATATATGTATACGTATGTATATATATATATATTTTAATTTCCAAAGTACACGATTTACCAAAAAAAACCTTCCTCCGGTCCTCCAGGTACTTATATTGATAGATACATACAGGTGAAGCTAATAGTAGCGTGGTTAATATATATTCACCGAGATCAATCCTGCACGCTATGTTCCAAGTGCCGCTGAACATCTGTTGCGAGTACTTAGAGAAGACCGGCTTCTTCCTGCCGCCCTCCCTTCCCGACAGGAAGTAGACCTTCGCCTTGTAATGGTTGCTTAGCTGCATACTCTTGGCGGCGCACAGTATCATTCCAGTTTCGACCGATCTCAATTTCAAACTGCGGAGCAACGCGCCGACATTGTCACCAGCGACGGCCTGCCAGATCGAAGGGTTTCTTATGATTATTGGCAAGTAGCATTAGAAGTGAGGTCATTTACTGTCGCAGTTGTAACGCCATGCTGTATAACTTAAAATAAGATCGAAAACAAAAAATTATACGTACGAGATCAAGCAATGCGATGAGTATACAATTATTTATTCATCCGAGATATGTATGTATATTTTTTAAGTCTGTACGAGTGTTATCAATTTGTGAAAGCAGAGAATCTCCATAAGTTTTATGTGCATATATATTAGAGATGGCCCGACCATAGACTTCGCCGCTCAAGCTATAACGGCAAGGGACATACGTCTATAACGTCCAAGAATACATTGAGGACAAGGATGTGTGGAAATGACTTGCTCTGCACTTGCAAGATCTCTGGCTGCTGCTGATTTTATACCTAAATAAGATTGTATAATTGTAACACAAAAAAAAAACAAAAAGAATAAGACCGCAGAGTTTCTTGCCGGTTCTTCTCTGTTCAGGTCTAGTTTAGTGAACCGGTGGTATTTTTTTTGTTGAGGTTTAATAAGAGCATAAGTTAGCCTATATTAAATAAAGATATTTTGACTTTGAATCAGCTGGCGCTCAAATTTCTGATTAGCCAGCAATACCTATCATGGCAGCATACACAAAATTTACCTCAGTGACGCTCTTCTTAAAAATCTGAATATCGGACACTGTGGTCTTAATATTGAATCCGAATCCCATAAGCTCCGCTTCCTCGTTCTTTTTCATCACTCCCCGCTTCAAAGTGCCGACGACGACTGTTCCCCTGCCGGGCACGGTAAACGCGTTGTCTATGGGCAGTAGGAACGGTGACTTCAGATCCCTCTGTATTGACGGCACGAAATTGTCTAAGGCATCCAAGAGCTTCCTGACTGAGGGTACACCTGAAATTTATTTGTGCTATTTTTCAAAGATTGCAACAACATAGAATTATTTCTTACATCATATTGACAATATAATGTGTAATAATATACATGGCTGAAGATATAAATACATACAAAATGTCAAGAAAAAACTTTACAGAACGTGAAAAAAATGAACTTTTACCCAAAATAAACAAGTAAGTATTATAAAAAGAAAGAATCCATATTATTTATTAACTTTTGAATTGCATTTTGTATTTTTGCTAATTGCATGATATGTTCGCAAATAAATAATAAATAGGTAATAGAACACATGAATGTCCTTACAACGTATTAGGGAATTATGTTTATTTTTAATAAAAGCTAAGATTTTTGATAAAATACATTTTTAACCAACGATTGATCGTCCAAATTGACAGATTACTTAATAAAACTTTTGGCAGCTCGTTGACCACCGAAAAACGCTTTCAGAAACTCGATTTTCTGTTGATTGTCCGTTAATCAGTGACTAATTGAAAATCAAAATCAATGTTGTTTAAGACGTTCTAGCAACTCAGATCATGTTAAACAACGATTGACAAGATATTTATCGTAAATTAAAATTGATTGCGCTTTCGGAAACTGGGTGTAATTGTGTTTAAACATTGATTGTTTTTATTATGAAGTCTAATTACAGGGACACAAGGGATGTTAATATCTTATTTATTTATTTAATACAATTACACAAAAATATTTACCATATTCCGATTCATCTTCATTTAGTGCCTTCAAAGCAGAGCCACAAATCATTGGGACATTGTCACCATCATAACCATAGTCCGTAATCATTTCCCTCATTTCAATTTCTACCAGCTCTAGCAGCTACAAGTGAATTCAATGCTTGCTTGAACAATCAACCGCATTTTAATAGAAAATGTAGACATGCACATGTTTAATTCACAATATCTAGTCTTTGCTCATAAGTAGTAACATTTTTGCAGGACCCGTGATTGATTAAAACATAGATAGTTGTCGAGAACGAGTGTGTTTGAAACTTTAGTTCCAATAAAAATAAATCTGCAGCCTTAAATGGTATAAGTAGAATTTTTCCTATGTATCAACAAGATGATTTGATGACCCATGTACAAAAGTAGATATAGGATATTATACTTGGACAAAACCTTAGACCATTACTATATTTAAAGATATTCCTATTTGGAAACAAACTGTCAACATCTCATCTAGAAACTTATTAATCATTATATGGTTCATATGAGGTCCGGGCCAAGCCAAGATTTAGACCATTAATTGATAATATTATATTGTCTTAATCAGATCCTGAGTCAAACTTCAAACACAGAACTCGAATTAATTTCTTCTAATGAGTTATTTGCATGAAAAAAAAGTTGTCAAATGGTACAAACCTCATTATCAACTAGGTCAGCTTTATTTATAAATACCAATATATATTGTATGCCAACTTGCTTTGCGAGTAGCAAGTGCTCTTTCGTTTGGGGCATTGGCCCATCATTGGCAGCTACAACTAATATTGCTGCATCCATTTGTGATGCCCCTGATATCATGTTGCGGATATAGTCTGCATGGCCGGGACAGTCTGTGTGAGCATAATGCCGATTTTTGGTGCTGTATCCTACATGTGCAGCGTTTATTGTAATTCCTGTAAAACAATTTTTGTGATTGGTTGGTTACTTCAGTTTCTTAATTCAATATCCAATCACTGAAGGTTATTCTATTAGATATAACAATATTAGATTTAATACATTTTATTTTTATAAAACTGTATAATATGTATAGTATATGGATATATGTTGTAGAAATAATATAACTGGAATTTGAACACCTTATTTCATTGGTAATCAACCTGAATAATGTAAATTTAAATAGATTTTGATGTTTCAAAATTGTTAGGTAGAGATGTCAAATAAATAAATCAAAATTGAAATATAATAAAGTTTTAGAATTAGTGATAAACTATGTGCTGTATACTTTGTAACTTTTTAAGTTTTACTCGAATTCATCAAGAGCCCAGTAGAATTGAATAATATAAAATAACTTTTCCTTCGAAACATTCTTTTAATAGCACATTTTACAGAATGATCTGATTCGAATTAGTGTCTTTTTCACGATATATACGCGTGTTGATAATGCTAGCAAACATTTTAATAACAATTTTGATACAAACCAACCTCTAGCTTTTTCCTCAGGAGCTTTGTCTATTTCATCGTATGAAACAAATTGTGCAGAACCATCTTTTGACAGTACTTTGGTGATAGCGGCCGTAAGAGTGGTTTTTCCATGATCTACGTGACCGATTGTTCCGACATTACAATGTTTCTTTTCTATTATATTTGCTTTCGTTTTCGTAGAGTATTTATAACCGTTTACGTTTAAAACACCAACCAAAAATCTATTACATGTTGGAATATTGCGATGAACCAATATTTTCTTCGAGTAAGCGCAAAATATTGACTGAAATATCTGTCTTCCAGTCATATTAAAGGAATAATACTGTACCCATTACCGAAATTACATTTAAGGTTACTTTGGGTTTGTTTAGCAGAAATCAGCTGTTGTAGTATGACAATAGAATATATATTGATATAGATTATGAAAATGTTACAGCTCTGTCATGTAATAGTATTTTATTTTATCGTCTTCGGATTTATCCATACAGACAATTAATCAACAGTTATACCTGTCTGTCAAATGCAAATACTGGTATATTTATAGATTATTTTCTTTTCTATCTATATGTCTATTTGTAGCTAATAGCTATCAACCGTGACTGCCAGGAGATCAGAGTTTATTAACCGACTTCAAAAAAGAAGGAAGTTTCTCAATTCGACCGATTCGATATACAGCGTGTCGTTACCATCGCGACAATAAATGAACACACATATAGAGGATAACTTTTTAAAATTGTATTAAACATTTACATTCTTCAAGCATCAATAATTACCGAGTTATTAAATTTTCCAAAACAAAGAATTTTAGAACATCCTTACCTATAAAAGCGTAACGTAAAGTTCATTTGTAAAGGTCACAAAGCATATGAATGGGTTTAATGAATTTAAAAGAGACAAAACATACTATTAGAAGGAGAGGCTTGTAATGCGACGCTATGGCGCGAGTTGTATAGGTGTTATAAATTTTGTTTCTTTTTTACTTAATTAGTTTGTTTGAAAAATATTTTTTTAAAATTATGGATGTTGTTTAACGTACCAACTACTACTTAACTAACATTTTTTTATGATTATTGGCAAGTAGCATTAGACGTGTGTTCATTTATTGTCGCGATGGTAAAGACACGCTGTATATAATTTTTTATGTTAGTTCGTGGATAACTCCGTCGTTTATGAACCGATTTTGATGATTCGCTTTTTGTCGGAAAGGAGATGTCCAAGGTGGTACCATGTTAAGATAACCCGGATCTGATGATGGCATCCCAGACAAATCGAGAGCAATCCTCAAATGTTATAAGTATTAACAATGTTTTTTAGTTTCCGGTTTCCGTTTCCTTCTTTTTTGTTAAAAATTTTAATTTTTTTATGGTTCATACAGTACGTTTGCACTACAGTTTCTGAAAGTAATGTGTCCCAGAAATATTTTAAATGATTACAAATTTTAAAATTTAGTTTATCAGAGAGGCATTGTGATTTTTACTTAGGCTACTGTTAAAATGAATGAATATTCGTAATGAATTTGCATTTTAAAACAGCCTGGAAATAGCGAAGTTTTTTGGAAATGCAATTGTGCTTCTTATTGACATTTAAACATGGATCAATCCCCTATGTAAATTAAGGAAATAGTTTTACTATCAAGGCTTAGAAGCACTTGGAGTCGTGTTTTTTTTAATATATGTTTCATTATTTCTGATTAGTAATTCAGAAAAAGAAATATTTTAAAGCATTTCAGTCAGGGGTTTCAGGGTTCCAGTATTTTAAAATGGACGATATATCTTGTAATCTAGGATGAACTAAATTGTGGCAGTACGACCTATGCTTAGTACCAACCCGTGTTTGGCATTATACAATATAAAAGACAACTAGTGCTTTTGCTTGTAAATTCTGACAAAATATAAAAGAATTAGTATATTACTACTAATATTACACCAAACTGAAAAAAAACTTTATTGTAGGTTTCAAGTGTTTTTATTCATAGTGAATTGAACACAGATTATATTACATCTAATGATCACTACATTTTATCAAAACAATTTTATAGATATGAGGCAATAGTACAATGGACACATGTATACAATAAAAAAAGGCAAGAAATGCACTTAGAGTGCTACTAGTTGCAGTCATTTGGGAAGAAAAATATTTTCTATAGATTCCAATTTATTATTCAATTGTAAGAGATTGCGAAAGTACAAAACATTATTAAAATTAGAAAACTGTAGTATGGCATAATTTTTTCTCACAAATTATTTCAAATTTCAAAAACAAAACAACTCAGATACTGGGATTTTACGTCATAACAACAAACATGTAACAACATTTAACATGTTCCTTGTTACATGTTCTTAGGGTTAACACCAAATTAAATTCGTAATAAAAGCAATTAATTGTAAGACTTGTATTATTATATTGCTACGACAAATGTCAAAAATATCAACATCAACAAAACAGTTTCATAGCTAATGCAATAAAATGATATTTCAAAACACTGGATTGGAATAATATTTTTGATAATAATATGTAATAATTAAGCACATACGAACATAAACACTTATGACTCTAACTCTGAAGTGACAGGGGAATAGAAAAGGCAAACCTTTACTGGCGCCTAAAGCCTTACATTTTAGATCCAACTGCAAAGCCGCAGGTTATTTTTACATTTATAAACAGTAGTTACCAACACTTACAGTCACAAATTGTTAGAATGAACCTCCATAAATTCCTTGTAGCACTCAAACTGTATCACTGGAATAGTGTCTGGAATGAGCAGCACTTGTTCAAATGTCTGTTAACCGTACAAAAGTAGAAATTTGACTTTCATTGTTTTAGAACTCTGTAATGTAGTGTGAACTCGACATTCGATTTCCAGATGAAGTGGCGGACAGTCCGCAGGTCCATGTTCGGGTCCAGAACCTGCGCAATGCATAAACATAAAGCTATAATACGAGTTTCATAAAATTGTAACTCCACCATCATATATATCGAAATACTTTAAGGATTTATTGTTTTTTTTTTTTACGAAATTTTCTTTATTTATTTATGCTTTATTGATAACTTTAAGAAAAAAAGATAACAAAGGGCGGACTTAATGCCCAAAGACATTGTCTACCAGTCAAGCCAGGATGTAGTGAGTTTATGGTAGGTGCAGCAAGGGATAAAAATAGAATAAATAAATATTTTATTTTTACACAACATTCTCTATCCCAAAAAGCAAAAAATGGGAATAGAAAAGTGATAAACATACTTAAACATACTTTCCTTTTGCATAATATATAACACCCAGGCACTAAAAAAATACTATGTTCATCACACAAAACCAGTAGTGGGGATTTAGACTACCCAGAACGCCATTCGGTTACAATATAAATAGAAAAGATATTATGTAACGAATAGGTATATAAAAAAAACCTTTTAGAATTCCCAGTATAAAGATTTATGAAGTCCCAGAATCAAATATCATTTCATTTCAGCCTGTTTGAGTCCACTGCTGAACATAGGCCTCCCCCATAGACTGCCACGAAGCACGATCCTGATCCACCTGCATCCATCGACAACCAGAATAGCTTAGCCTACAAGGGTTGAAACTACAAACTATAGAAGATACCTGATCGCAGCAGAGCAATTCCACTCGCTCTTCGGGCGCGTCGTTCCCGCTGTCCTCGTTGGTGCTTTGCTTACCACCGCTAGCATTCGCCCCGTTGACATCACCGCCGCCCACAATCTTCTCCACCACATGCTCGGCTACCTTCCGACACTGGATGAAATCGTTCGCGACCAGTCGATCCTGAAAGCGTTAACGTTTTGGCGTCACTACGAGTCGAAACTGGGAAATGTGCAGTGCAAGTTGTGTTCATATTATAAATAACAAACGGCTTCGCACGGGTGCAATGTATTACTACATATTAACCTTCATCTTGAATCACTCTATCTAGTAAAAAAACCGAATCAGGATCTGTTGCGTAGTTTTAAAGATCTAAGCATACATAGGGACAGACAGCGCGACGAATTTGTTTTATACTATGTAGTGATGCGAAGTGTTTTCGTTACACATTGCTATAGCTCGAAAGTTTATCTTTTGGCAGTCTGGTGTTGGACAGCGATGAACAAGACTATGTCAAAACGATCAACAGCAGAACCAATAGAACGGTGGTAGGGCTACGCAGCAGCCTCGGCTGTTGCACAAATGGGCAGGCTCGTCCGGGTAAGTACCACGACCTCACAGAAGACCAGCGTAAATTGGAAGTATAATACTTTCGCGTTTCGTCTGGTGAGTGAGGTGGCCGGAGTCCAATTTTCAAAAGGTTGTCAACGCATCTGGAACTCCAGGTGTAGCAGATGTCCATGGGCGGTATTCGGTATTATTATTATTGTTATCAGGTGAACCGTCGGCTCGCTTGGCAACTTATCACTTAAAAAAAAAACTAGCTTTGTAGCACTACCACAGTGGATTCCAAGAAGTCTATTTTCATAATTCTTAGTGGATTTTATTGAAATCTAAATAGGGATCTTTTATCTTATACTTTGAAAAGTATAATGTTAATGTTGTATAAACAATATCAGTGTTTATAATTTACTAACATATTTTTCAGTCAGAAAAATGTACAGTTTTTTGTGTTAATTTACAAGAGAATATGTTAGTATATCATAGTTCACCACTAAGCATAACTGAATAGAAAAATGTATACTTAATTGTTTCTGCCTGCAAAACAAAGTTGTGGAATCCTATTAATAGGAAAACGGATTATGTTCCTTCCAAAGGCCTCTTTTGCATGGATTAACATTGAATATCAAAGCTGTTTGCAAATACTTCACTTTTATCTACCATTTCAAAACAAAAATCTAACATGACAAAATAAAAATAAAATCTTACTATGCTAAATATTTGAGAAATAAATGAACAAATACTAAATAATGAACATTTACAAATACTATATTTTGAAATGAGCTTTAGTGTCTTTAGATACATATGTGGTCAGATGCATGGTTTAGTTAAGTTTATTAGTCAGTTCTTTTAAAATGAAAATAAACTAAACTTGACAGTTATCATATGGAGGCAATCAAAATATTTGTATTGTCTATTTTTGAAGGTGGTTATTTTTTATTTATTTTTTTTAATTATTTAATATTTTTTTATTTTTTATTAACCCATTGCCACTACTTTTTCTTACTTAGACATATATGGAATAAAAAGCGATAAAAATGTGTTAACCCACACAATTGATAGAATGAGTAATTGGCAATTTCCAGAAAAGTTTTGCTAAACTCTTGGAACAATTTTAATTCCGCCTACCTTCTTTTGCCTGTCCTGTTTGCTCTGACAGCTTGAGTGCGAGAGAAGATAAAAAGGGAGTTTGTTGAGTTTAGGAGCGGCCATTTCGATAGCGACGTCCACCACCCAAGAAGGGACAGTTTCCATAAGCAGATTACCCTCAGTTTCACCACCTGCATCACCAACCTAAAATAAGGGATTAATCATTCACACAACAATACTCATTAATGTAATTACTCTATGCAACACTGTTTACATATAATATGTATAATAATTTAACACACGTAATGGTTATCTTAAATTAAACAATTACTACACACACACTAGATACAACCTTCGTTTATCTTAGATTTTTAGGTAGAACAAGCTAATCATTAGCATTAGCAATCAAAATGAGAAACAAATTTTTAAGTTCTATAAGTATTTAGAACATATTTGAGTGTAAGTAAATGCCTGCAATGTTAGTAGTTATTAAAAATATGATAATATTTACCACTTTTGTACCGACATGCCATGCAAATAATTTTATTTCGAATAATTTTAAACATACCTGCAGCCTATAAAGTGTCCGTCCACCAACTTCACTGAATATTAAAGGTGTGTGTAATGGGACGCTGAAGAAATTGTTCCCGATCACTTTCTGCCCAGCTTCATTCACTCTATTTGGATGATTCCAATGTTCAAGCAATGCTTGCAAAAGCAGCGCACCAAAATTCACTTTTTGATCATTCTCTGTTGTCAATCCCGCTTCTTTCGCACTAACCCATGCACTCAGGCAATCTGTTTCGTCTTGACCAAGATGTATTGTCAACATTCCCGTTTTCAAGTCAACATTAAACCAGTTTGGCACATAAACCATTTTGAAACGCTTCTTCACCTCCTCATCATAGTCCACTTCACCTAAGTCTTCAACTTTACAAGCTTTCAACACATCATACAGCATGACATGGTTAGCCGTGTCCTTAGTTAAAATGTGCCTTTTATCATTTAATACTGTGTAATGTTTTATAGCCCGTCCACCTGGTAAATTATGCATAGGCTGTGTTTGATATACATTATTTGTGTTATAGCTGTTCTGAGTATACATGTCAGATATTAAAGAGTTATGGGGTGGGAGTTTCCAACACCGTATATCTGAATCAGACGTTGATACCCATACACCTTGTTGGTCCGCAGTAAAACACATTTTAAGAATAGGAGCAGTCTCTTCGCATATTATCATAAAATTATCTGGATTTCGTAGTTCAGTTATTATCACAAGTCTGTCTCTTCCTCCAGATATGATGTGAGTAAAGTTTTCAGTGGCTAACAAAGCCCACACTGCTTCCGAGTGCACCCTAATTGTCGATACACACCTCTGCTGTGATAAGGACCACAGTTTTATGGTTCCGTCTGAACTGCCGGACACACATTGTGAACCATCTCTGCTCACCACTAAAGCCTTCACGTTGTCCGCGTGACCTTTAAGTTTCATAAGTCGCGAACAGTTTCGAGGGTCCCAAACTCTCAGTACCTTCTCTGTTGAACCACTAACAAGAATAGTTCCAGGCGGATTCATCGCGAGGCTATATATCGACTCTTTATTGCCAACGAGACTAGACGTAGTAACGGTATTGTTACTGGCTGTGAGAGCGGTCAAAGTGTTGACGTCCCAAAGGAAGATAGCTCTGTCGAGACCGGCACTAGCTACCTGTTCTTTGTCCTTAGCGTATGCTAAGGTACGTACATAATCCTTATGGGTTCGTAAGGTTGACATACAAAAGCCTTTCGGCGCATTCCAAACTTTTACGGTAGTGTCTGACGAGGCACTTATAAGATTCTTACCGCCGCAGCAAAGAACGATATCGTTCACCCAGTCGGTATGGTGTTCCATGCTTTGTATATATCTGTCTTGCGCGCCAGATCCTGTGTGCCAAACGCGTATAATTCCATCACGACCAGCCGAGTACAATCTCCCCTGTATAGGATCGAGTTGTAGAGAGCTAACACCATTTTTATGCCGTCGCTCCTCCTCATCCCTAATCACAAATGACACTTGAGTCTTCTTACGCATCATCGAGCCCATTTTCCGACATCTTAAACTGTAATTTTAATTTTATTAGTGCAGAACTAAAGCGAAACAGGTTCGGAAGATCCTCTTTCGTTTTGTTTCTGATATAGTTTTTGACATTTCGAGTGGTTCTGGTTGTTACAACGTCCTCTATGGTCCAATTATGTAAACATATCTAAATTATGATTGGTCCAAGAAACGTAAAGTAATTTTTCCAACCAATAGAGAGCTTCACATATAGCAGATTCTAAGAAGATGAATCAATTCAACTGTGTTCGGAAATGCTTTTGACAGTTGATTATTGATAATGGTATTTTATTTAAATTAGTGAACAGTGAAGAATAATGTAATTTATTATTTTGGTCAAAATTTTACAAGAAATATCTTTGTTATATATAAGAATATATAATGATTTTTTTTTATAAAAAAGTAAAGTTCAGTATCAGACTATACTTGTTCCACTGCTGGGTAAAAACTACCTCTGAACAGACGGGAATAGTTGCACCTCGCAACCGCACTGCAGATTGGCAGACTTCATATATCGATCTCCAAAGCTCATGGACATTCATTTAGAGGACTTGCCAAAGGGTTACTGGCTGATAACATGTAGTGCCGTTAGCTGTATATACTCTCGCGTTGGGCACCCATTACGTCGACCATAACTGTATTTAGAGAAGTATTGAATAAGGCAAACTTTTGCGAAGGATGGTCAAAAAATGTCGGACGGTCATGAAATGAAAGGTTTAGATCAAGGAACTGACCTGTATATCTAAGACTACTTAATAACTCAATTTTAATATAAATATCAAGTTAGTGCTAAATCTGGTCTCTCTTGTTTGAGTTATAGCCAAATTAAAAAGTAATTTGTGAAAAACATTAATTGTACAGAAAATTGAGTTTCGCGCTGTCGTAAATTTCCTCACTAAGCTGGGTAATACGTCGCAGATCATCATTGAAGAGATGTCATCAGCTTACGAGGACTTTTGCCCTGAAAAAACCATGACTCACGAATGGCATGGCCTACTTAAGAAAGGCCGATAGTCAGTTGAAGGCGATTACCGCCCAGGTGGGTGCCGAGAATGGAGGAATTTTCTCTTTACTTGTGTTGCTTTTTACCAAAATTGCGTTGCTTTTTACCAATCGACCTTCGTTTTTATACAACTAACAGGGACTATAGACCTCAGTATCTGGTATACATTTTAACTTGTTAAGTTCGCACGTTCCTGAGAAAATCGATGGTGACACACGGACAGACAGACGGGCAAGAGAGTGATCAGGGGTGTTTTTTTACCTTTTACCATACGGTAAATTTTTAGAGTTTTCATATAAGGTTATGTCAAAAAACAAAATTTTAAAGGTAGGTTTTAAAATTCAAACTACCGAAATGAGGTTTATTAATAAAAAAATAATGCTCGTCTTCGTAGATGTATTGAATTCATGGCTCATATTCGGCGAGATCTTGGTGGCCAAATGTAGAGGCCAAAGCTGCAGAATCACGTTTCTGAAGACCTAGATGAATCATTTTATTAGACCGACATAGAAGCCTTGGAAGACACGTACGGAGGTTCTTGAGATTATGTTGAAAAATGAAAACAGTGTTTTGTTAAAACAATTGTTTTGTCTAATAACTTACTATTGAATAATAAAAAAAATTATTAAATTTACAACTTCCAATGTGAAACATGTAAAAACTAATGTACTTTTATATGTAGAAGCGCTAGAAACTATTGACTTGATAGCTGTGCTAAGTTACTGCCTGTACTCGATTGGGAACAGGTAGTGAGTAGTAGACTGAGCTCAGCAGCTTTCACGGTTATAAAAATAAGATAGTCGACTTATATAGATACGGCTCACTTGGTATGTTTTAGTTATTTCTACAGTATAATGTTGTCCTCCAAAAGAGAGCTATTCGTAGGAGTTTTACGTGGGCTCCAAAGAATCACTGAGAAATACATATATACAAATTTATGAGTATAAGTAATTATGAATATAACCTCACTTGTTCTATCTATCCGGTTTCAATATTCTATCTACAGTTACATTTGGTTACTAGCGATAGGTATTGGACATTACGTCAAAATTCTATCTCCAGTAAACAAATCATTTTGTAAATTGAATATTGAAACCGGCCGTCACTGGCGTTAGAATAACAAGTGACTTATATGATGTCAGGGTCGTGTTTAGAGGTCTGGAGGCCTCGGGGCAACAAAGGAGTGGAGGCCCTTTGGCCCCAAATTATTATCCAAATAAAATAAACAATTTTTTTCAGTCGAGTTTTCAATAAATAATTTACTGTGAAACCAAGTATAGTTTCTTTTATTATTTAAAGAAGAATTATCTACAATTAAATTTTAGCGATAGCGAACGGAACCTTGCGAGTTTTTTTCGCCGAAAAATCGTCGATGATTTGGCTGAAATCAAGTTCACGAATCAAATAACGTTCAATGCTCAGGAGAGAAAGCTTTGATGCACGGTTTTGTTCCATTGTGGTTCGAAACCTATTTTTTATAATTTTCATTTTTGTAAATGAGCTCTCTCCAGTGCAATTTGATACCATCTAAACCAAGTACATTCTCAATGCAATTTCAAGGCCCTGGGGCTGTAGCTCCGGTTGCCCTCCTCTAAATCCGGTCCCGTATGTTATTACTTGTATTGGCTAGGTTCATAAGACCGGCCACCAGCCTGACGTTAACTTTTCTTGGGAACAAACAGCCGGTACACTTATCTCTGATTCTTAAAAATATTTCTCCCGTGTGGGAATCGAAATCATGACCCTACGCCGCAGCTAATAGCCACCGAGCCATCGTAGAGATATGGATGTGAAAACACGAAAGACTCCAACCACTCTCTTGATTACAGGAACTATTGATTATAAATAATGGTTTCTTTCTGTTCGCTAAGTTTCTTATCCATTTAGCCGGATACACTTTTATTTGTATATTTAAGCTTTATCGTCCACCTAACAAATATAACAATGCTGAGTTTTGTCTATCGCAACAGAGAAGGACGAAAGACGTACGTTTGCACACAAATTAGAGAGAGAGAGAGAGAGAAAAAGACCACTATCCTTTCTAAAACTGTTATAATTCTGTCATAACGACTCATTTAACTTTCAAATAAGGAAGTTCCGACTGGACTGTAAGTTGTCGTTATGCGCCCTCCATTACCTTCACGAAGAAGTTTCGACGCGATGTCACATTTTGTTTTTTCCCAGATAGATACATATTATGTAAATTCTACGGAGAAATATGTACAGGGAAAAGTTGACGTTGCCTTTTTTCGGTTGAAAGATTCTTAAGGGTTCGGTGTGACGTGAAGCAAATCGAACGTGAACAGATCCGTAGGGTAATTTTGTGGAGGTGCTGCGGGAATAAATTTTCAAACTCCCATTGGCGTTTTAGGTTAGCAAGAATAATAAAACGTATTTTACTTAATATTTATGAATAGGTTAACTTATTAGTTATATCGGAGATGGGAAAGAATGATGTGTTGTTCAAAACGAGATTATTGGTATTTTTATGTAAAAAGTCATTCCGCTTCGTGCTCTCGTACGGAACGGACCTCTCTCTAAGACGGAGGGCTAATGCCACCCGAATTAGACGCTACTCGCAACTTCGGTTGCAATTTAAATCTTTGTGCAAGCAGTGCAGTAGTTTAGTGTTAGTGTTGTGCTCGTAGGCAGGTTCCTGTTCTGTAAGTAGAATTCTATACACACTTCTCGCCTCAGAGGCGGCATTGTTTTTATTTAATAACTGTGTGCTTGTTGCGATAGGCGACAGCTAGGTACCCACCCTAGCGCACCTAAAGCGCAGGCGGATTAGTTGTTAGTTTAAGGCACACACCTCCCTGCCGCAAGGTGGGGAGGCCTATTTAGTAACTTACACGCCGGCGGGGCGCAGGCCCCAAAGGCTCAAGCGCTCGAAATGGGTTCCCTCCTAGAGGAATTCCTTCACCAACGATGTCCCGAAGTGTGGGCAAACTTTCTCGCGTTCGCGAAAGAAAAATGTTTAGTCGTCGAGTTCGCCAGCGACAGCCCGGCTTCACCGGCAGTCGCCTCGCCGTCATCTCCGGCGCCCTCAGCGCCCGCTAATGCGTCGCCTTCAGCGACACAAGAAAAGCCCGTCGCGTCGACCTCCGCCGCCGCGATCGTACCCATCGCGCCTTCCGCGCATCCCATCTCGGCCCCCTTCCGCGCCGTCGTTCCCGACTCACAATCGGACGGCGGATCGGACATGGAGGTCGAAACGACCCCCGCTGAAAACGCGAACGTCGACGGTTTCACCGTCGTAAAGTCGCGTAAGAAGGGCAAAAAACGCCCCGCTGCCGACAGCGACCCCGAATGCGAGGCCGCTTCGACTAACCAACCCACCGCGACGCCCGCCAAAAAGGCGGCTGCGGCGGCTAAACCGATGCCCGAATTCGCCTCCGAGCGAAAAATAAAGCCTCCTCCACCCATCATCATTCAGGAGAAGGCTAAGTGGCACCAAATTTCTTCGTGGTTTGAACGCCACAATATCCGCGACCCCCGGTCGAAAAATACACAAATGGGTATCCGCGTATACCTTGACACAACGGACGATTTCCGCCGCGTAACGAAATACTTGCGCGAAAATAAGATAGGTTTTCACACCTACTCTTTGCCCGAAGAACGCAAGCTTCGGGTAGTTATCAAGGGCGTCCCCAAAGAGTCGGATGTCGACAAGGCGAAAACCGACATCCGCACTCAGGGATACCCTGTGCATGCCGTCCGACGCCTCAGACACCCCAGAACCCGTGTCCCTATGGACATGGTGATGGTTGAACTTGACCCTACCCCGGAAGGTAAGGCCATCTTCAACCTGAAGAGGGTCTGTGGGCTCAGCGACCTCGTGATCGAGCCCCCGCGAAGATCGGGAGTTGTGGCGCAGTGCCACAACTGCCAACACTATGGCCACACGGCTAATAATTGTTTCGCTCACCCTAGGTGCGTCAAATGCACCGGTGACCACGGCACGCCCGATTGTACGCGGCCAAAA